AGTTAAGTGTTATGTATCTGAGGCTGGATTTGAACTCAAGTCTTCCTGAATGCAGGACCAGTACTCTATCCACTGCACCACCTAGCTGCCCTTGGTTTCTTATCCTTTTGTATCTATTCCTTCTATATCTTTATTTAAATTCCAGAGACACTTATTAAGCACCTACTATGTGCAGATCCTTACGCTGGGCACTAATAGTGATGTGAAGTTTAGATGAGACAGAGTCCCTGCCCTCATAGAACTTACAGTGTGGTATGGAGACAAAACAAATACACAAATAATTTTTCATTATAAACTTAATAGCCATTAACAAAAACAAATAACCAAGGAAACATATAGAATGAGGGAAAAATCGTACTTAAGATCTTTAGTACTTAATAAAATAAAACTAAAAACTTAACAGAAAATAAACAAAAATGTTTGCTTTGCATCTCTTTCCAAGTTCAGCTGAAGTTTCACTATTTTTGTCTTTATTTTTTCCCAAATATAGTTTTAGTGAATGTGCATGCAGTTCTGGTTCTAATAACCTTGCTTTTCATTTTTTCATATTGGTTTGATTTATTTTCATGTTTCCTTGTATGCTTTGTAGTAATTTTAATAGCACCATAATATTACATTATGTTAATATGTCTATGGTGCTATGATTTTTGTCAACATAGGTACTCCCTCCAATAGTGTATATAACAAGCCATCCATGCCTTCTTATCCATGTTCTTCCATAAAGCCTCCCTAAAAGAATCACCCAACAAGCTGGGTGCCTTCCTCTAGGTCATTTTGCATTCTATGGGTACCATTGAAGCCTTTGTGCTTCCATCTATCATCCTTTGTTGCTATTACATGATCAGCCCACCTTCTTTCCAGATTATATTGTGGTAGGAGTAATATGCTAACTCCTCCCCTCATGCAAGTTAGTCTAACTTTTCCTTTAAAAATATTGGTTGACTCAAGGGACTAAAGGCTTAGGCTGTTAACATTGCTTCCTAGTCATCTGAGTATAAAGCTCCCACAAAGAGTTCTCAGATAATCGGGCTGGTGGATGATAATGGGCAATTCAAGTGAGGGTACTTCTTTTAGCTAAATGAACTTGAGGTATCCTCAATTTCCATCCTTGTTCTGTATCCTTCTCCTGCTATGGATAAATGAATCTCTTTCAGTTAACTGTTGCATGTCTCCTTTTTTCATTACAAGGCTTCATTAATAGAGCTTCTTCACCAGGTAACTTGCTGTAACAATAAAACAGGAGGCTGGTCCTTATCCTTCTATTATATTTTTTAGGATAAAGTCCAATCAATGAAATTGTTGAGTCAAAAATCAGTTTTGTCACTTATTGTACATATTCAATTTTACTGTCAAGTTAACTGCACGGTGAAAGATTCTGAAAGACTACAGTTAACTACCAAGAGAGCTTGTGTTTCTGAGGGACTCAGAGGATTAACTGTCATCTTTGAGGGGGTCCAAAGAGACATTTTTGAGATAACTGAGTTTACTTCTTATCCTGTAGAAAACACATCCCAAGAATTCCTTAGAGATTTTATCGGCTATCTTCAGGGAACTGAATTATTGGCCTGAGATTCCAGTGTTTTGGAGAAGTCAGAAGTTGTTGCAGCCACTAGTAAAAAGGTGACTCTAGCTGTGACCTTTCTCACAGCTGAAACATTGTTGAAATATTTATCTATGTCTTAGTATTATTTGTTACTGTTAATAGATCATATAGCTAGTAATACTGATGCTTGTCTAAGCCCATGAGACCAGAGTCTGAGATTGAGTAAGGAGAAAAATCTTGTATAAAAAGAAGCTTCTTTGTTGTTCTTATAAAGTAAGGTGACAGCTTGGAGATAATTAATAATTAGTATGAGACATTTTGCATTTTTGAATACTTTCTGGGGTAATTTCCATTCATACCTATTTTGAACCCAGTGAGAGAGAATTAAAAGATAACAATCAAATAAGCAGGTTAAGGGGTGGGGTTTGGAGATTTTTGTCCCGAAGAGCACCTGAGAAGTATTGCTCACACCCTGTAACACACTTACACCCCACAAAGGTGATTGTTGTGTGTGTGATCTTATCCATGGGATAGCTACATGTCGGGCAGCAAAGATTTTCTTATACATATAATACTCACTTCATCTAAACCTTCTACACTTTGATGGTTATCTTCTCTTTGAAGAGCAACTGATCTTATTCAGCTAACTGAAAGTTAAATATTCATGTGTTCAGTATGGGAAAAATGCAAAAGGAGGTGGAGAGCAAACAAAAAACAGAACCAGGGTGTCCTATAAGCTGCTTCCTTTTTTTCTCTTCAACCAACCAATCAGCAGACATTTACTGAATGCCTGCAACTACTGTATCAGAGGGCCAAGGACAGATCCTTAGGGAACACCTATAGTTAGGGGTGTGAACTGGGGGAACCAACCTAGCAAAGGAGACTGAGCAGGTGTCGTCAGAGAAATAGGAGGATAGCCAATGTTATGAAATGTTATGAAAGCTGAGAAAGGAGAGAGAATGAAGATATAGGTGACAGTTTCAAAGGTTGCAGAAAGGTCCAGAACAATGAGGATCCAGAGAAGGACATTAGATTTGTCAATTAAGAGACTATTGGTATCTTTGGAGAGCAATTTCAGTTGAATGATGAGTTCAGAAGTCATATTGCAGTGGCTTTAGAAGAAAGAGAGGAGAGAAAGCACAGTTTAGACCATGTTATCCTCACTCCTCCGGAAACTCCAGTGTCTCCCTATCACCACCAGGATCAGATACAAAATCCTCTAACTGGCATCCAAAGCCCTTCATAACCTAACCCTCGTCTACCTTTTCAGTCTTCTTTTACCTAATTCCCAACCACATACCCTTTGATCCACTGATAAATGACCTCCTGGCTGTTCCACAAACAAAGCACTCTATTCTTAGCCCCAGGCATTTTCTCTGGATGTTCCTCGTGCCGGGAATACTCTCTCTTCTCATCTACACCTACTGCCTTTCCTTGTTTTCCTTAAGTTCCAATTAAAATCTCATCTTCTGGAAGGAAGCTTTCCCTAACCCCTCTTAATTCCAGTGCCTTTCCTCTCAATTATTTTCTATTTATCCTGTTGAGAGCATGCTTTGTATTTATTTGTTCAAATGTTATCCCACCCAGTAGACTGTAAGTTCCTTGAGGGCAGACACAATATCTTTTGCCTCTTTTTATAATCGTAGCACTTAGTAGGTTCTTAATAAATGTTTATTGACCGGCTCACTAAAGAGTTTACAATGTAGTTGTGAAGACAAAACCTACACACATGAATGAGTTTAAAGAGAGTGCTATACAATTTGGAACTGTGCCCAAAGGGCTATAAAACTGTGCATTCCATTTGATCTAGCAATACCACTGCCAGGTCTATATCCCAAAGACATCCCAAAGAAGGGGAAAAGAACCAATTTGTACAAAAATATTTATAGCAGCTTTTTTTTGTTGTTTTTTTTTGTTGTTTTTGTTTTTTGTTGCTAAGAATTGGAAATTGAGGGGATGCCCATCAATTGGGGAATGGCTAAACAAGTTGTGGTATATGACTATAATGGAATATTATTTTGTTGTAAGAAATGTCAAGCAGGATGATTTCAGAAAAACCTGGAAGGACTTACATGAACTGGTGCACAGTGAAGTGAACAGAACCAGGAGAACATTGTACACAGTAACAGCAATGTTGTTCAATGAAGAACTGTGAATGACTTAGCTATCCTCAACAATGCAACAATCTAACATAATCCCAAAGGACTAATGATGAAGCATACTATTTGCCTGCAGAAAAAGAACTGACATTGATTGAATACAGACTGAAGCATGCTATTTTTTGCATTCTTTCTTTCATTTTTTCTTTTATTCAAGTCTTTTTGTTCAAAATGACTAATATGGAAATGTTTTACATAATTGCACACGTATGACCTATATCTGAATGCTTACCATCTCAGGGAGGAGGGGATGGAAGGACAGAATTTGGAACTCAAAAAAGAGAGAATGCTATAGTTTGAGAGTGATTCTATTTTCCATGCCAAAAAATTGTGACATATGGCCTAATAAAGAATATCACTTTTTGCACAAATGTCCTTTAAAATGCAATTGTTATTCTCGAAATTGAAAGTGTCCTAGAAAAACCTGGGTGATGGTTGCCATAGCCATAGTACAAACTGAAACCAGAAGTGCTGAGGGAATGTAAAGGAATGAGTAGGATGGAGAGGAGGTGAAAGCCCAGAGACCTATTTTTTTGTTCAGGTAGGATCATTATTGCAGGTGTTGAGAATCTGGTCTTCCTAATTTCCTGTATTTTTTTTTCCATTCATCTGTAGACAATTCTTCCTCTTCATCATGGCCGTGATGAACCAGGAGTCAACCTCCTCCCACATTTACTGGCTAAAAACGATGTGAAAGTCCAGAGACTCGATTTTTGTTCAAGTAGGATTATTACTGCAGGGCTAGACAATCTACTGTAGCCTAGTTTCCTCGAGCGCCCAATTTTCTGCATTTTTTTCCTCATTTGTAGACAATTCTTCCTCCTCATCACGACCACATTGGGCCAGGAGCCACCGTACTCCCTGTATTAGCTGCCGGAAAACGAAGACAATCGTCAACTACCAGCAGCTGCCAAATGAGCCATCCTGGGGCTGTGGCTCATCACCCTCCCCTAACTAGAAGAGGTTCTGAGGCTAGCAGAAAAGGCGGGAAAAGGCAATCAACTACAACTCCCGGCAGGCTGCGGTCCCAAAGTGACGTCATCACCCGGCCTCGCCTCCCTCTCAGTCGGCCCGTGTCCAACTTCCCCCGCACAGAAGCTCCCAGTATAAACTACATTTCCCGGGAAGCCCCGCGCCGCCCAATAGCCCTCCTCTCTCTGTCCGGCTCAGAGAACGCCATCGGCTGGGCGCGCGCTCTCGCTCGCTGGCTCGGCCGCCCGAGGGGAGGGAGCGTGGAAGGGAGGGGAGGACCGGGCTGGGGAGGGGGCGGGGGTACGGCTGGCTCGCTCGCTCGCAAGATGGCGGACGAGGACGGGGAAGGGATTCACCCTTCAGCCCCTCAGCGGAACGGCGGCGGCGGCGGCGGCGGTGGCGGCGGCGGCTCTGGGCTCCTGGGCGCCGGGAACGGCGGCGGGGGCGGCCCGCGGGTGGTGCGCATCGTCAAGTCCGAGTCCGGCTATGGCTTCAACGTGCGGGGCCAAGTGAGCGAGGGCGGGCAGCTGCGGAGCATCAACGGAGAGCTGTACGCGCCGCTGCAGCATGTGAGCGCCGTGCTGCCCGGGGGGGCGGCCGACCGGGCCGGGGTGCGCAAAGGGGACCGCATCCTGGAGGTGTGAGTATCGGGGCCCCGGCCCCCGCCCCCGCCCCCCGGGGCTCCGTTCCCGCGGCGCCCCCCACCCGGCGGCCACCCTGCCCCCAGCCGCGGCCAGAGACAGCCCTGCTCCCCCGGCGGGCCCACCCCTCCGACCCCCGGGGCCGGCCGGCCAGGACCCGAGTCCCCGTGCCGGCCCCCCCCACCCCCCCTTCCCAGTGCCGTGACAGTGAGCGGCTCTGCCGTGCCTCCCGCGGAGGCTCCCGGCTGTTCTCTCTCTTCTCATTGGAGCCCCCCTCTGCCCTCCTGTCCCCTGCTTCCTTTTGTCTGTGTTGGAGTCCTCCTTTTGGGCACCCTTGGGTTCCACTTGTGCCTGGTGGCATTTTCCGTTCCCTTGCCCTACATCCTGTTCTTCCGTCCCCCCCCCCCCCCCCCCCTCCCACTTTCATGCCTCTGCCTTTCGGTACAGTTTCGTCCCTTCCCTCCCCCTCCACTGCAGCCCCTGCCTTTTCGAGTTCGCTACTTCATCAGCCTCGTTGCAGCCCCGACACTTTGGGGGGGCTGTTGCATTGTCAGTCCAGTCTTAGATCCGAACGGCAGGGGATTCGATTTATGTTTGAAGGTTTAAAGAGTGTGTGTGTGTCCGTGTCCGTGTGTGTGTGTGTGTGTGTGTGTGTCTGGTGCTCAAAGGGGGTCTGGGTGTAGGTAGTACTCCCATTGCCTCCATTCCTTTCCCCCCTGTGTCCTTCACTACTCTATTTCTGTATCGCCTGTCTTCCTCACTCCTTTTCTCTTGTACAACCTTCTCTGACTGGCTTGCGTCCTCCTCCTTTACTAGGATATTCTGTCTTTGCTTCACGTCCTTCCTAAATTTCCTTTCAGTCACAAAAATCCCTCCCTACCTTCAGGCCTTCACCTGGTAGAACTGTTGGTTAGGCCAGGGTTTTAGAGGCAGACAGTATCCTCAAGGTGTGTCTGGAGAATGGAGTAACCTCTCCCTCCTTAAATGTTTGACTCCTTCTGTGGCACTTTCCCCTTAGAGTTCTTCAACCTTCCTACCTCAGTGATAGTGACCTACCTAAGAAAGTGGGATGTTAGGAGTTTAGGGTTAGAAACCTTCCCCCTGGATAGGTGAATGTTTTATTTTTTCCTCCACTTTCAACTGCTTTACGAACAGTTCTGCTCTTCCCCAGCCTGGTGTGCCAATATATTAATCTTATGGGCATGGGGGCACTAAGACCTGTATTGCAGTGGTGATCTTTCTTTTTCCATTACCTGAGCCCAGAATTCTGTTCTTTCCAGACTATAGAAAATCCATGACTATTATCCTCTTCTGTCAGCAGCTCTTGGGAGGTGTCAGTTTCCCTTCCTTGTGGAAGTTCATGTTGGATTCATTTGCATTTATTTTTGATTTTCAAAGTCCATGAAGCTTCCCTGGGCACCATATAATGGAAAAAAAGTGTCAGTTGCATCACAGAACTGAACAAATTGGGAAACCATCTTCAAACCTCGTCTACACAACTTCCTTCCCCTGTTCCAAATTCAAATCTTGTGCTTTCTTGTACTTTCTTTGGTCGTACTGAGTAAGAGTAATAAATCAATTGCTGGGTAGACATGACTTTCCTGCAGCTTTTTGAAAAAAAAAAGTTAATATTTTTTGTTTTTATATCTCCTTCATTTCTGAATATAAATCTCTTTCATTCCTTCTAAGCATAGAGTTTAAAAGAAAAAAAAAAGGAATATTAACAGTTCAGCAAAATTTACCAGCACTTCAGCTGAGTCTGACTCTGTATGTGCTCTTCCACATCCACAGTCCCACATTTTCAGAAAGGGAGAGAGGTACACCTTTTCATCTCTTCTTTGGGACCTTGCTTAGTCATAATCACTTAGATTCAGTTTTTTTCTTTGTTCTTTCCATTTACATCATATTAATCACATTGTTTTTCTGATTTCTGCTTCCTTTAGAGTCAGCATCAGTTAATATGAATCTTCCCAAGCTCCTTAGAATTCTGCATGTTCATCATTTCTCATGGTACAATAATATTTCATTACATTCATGTGCCACATTTTATTTAGCTCTTTTCTAGTTCGTGGTAATCTACCTTGTTTCCAGTTTTTTTTTTTATTATTGCTACTGCAGAAAGTGTAGCTATGAATATTTTGATGTGTATGGGTAGATTTGACTTTTTAAGGGTAATTTCTGGTTGCTAGAGGAAGAAGAGCACTGCACAGATTTCATTTCCTGGTTTTGATCATGGTTGGTGAACACGCTTATTTTCCTATAAAAGTTTATATGCTTACTCCCAGAAGCATTCCAGTTCTTCCTCTGTAAAATATTTAAGAGAGCTCCTCTGTCTTTCAGATAAGTTCTTTGGCTTATCATATCTTGCTCAGAAAAGCTTTGCTTATTGAAATCTCAAGTGGGGTCAGGGCTGAGGATAGGTAATCATTGTGTAGCTGTGATTTGAGTTGTGCTTACATTTACTATCTTGAATCCTGTGAATTTCCATGTAACTAAGTTTTTTTTTTTGTTTTGTTTTTTTTGCTGTTTTTTCAAAAGAATTACAGTTGTGTTTTTCCACTTTGTACAGTTGTTTGGACAGTTTATGGTGATATGAGTGGGCAGAGGAACTTATAATTTAGGACTAAAAGGTGTGCAAGTTTGGATATAAGTGAAATTGTTGCTTTAAAAAAAAAAATGTAGGGGTAGCTAGGTGGCGCAGTGAATAGAGCACTGGTCCAGGAGTCAGGAGGACCTGAGTTCAAACAGCCTCAGACACTTGATACTTACTAGCTGTGTGACCCAGAGCAAGTCACTTAACCCTAATTGCCTATCCAAAAAAAAAAAAAATCTATTCACAAAGGCCTTTTTTACACTGGGATATGGTATGGTGTTTGGGTTTAGCCAGAATGGTTCACTTTCTACTCCTCTACAAAACAGTATCTGATTTAGGAAATTGTTCTATTGTAGGATTTGGTAATTGCAGTAAGAATAGGTCTCCTGGGCTCTAAACCTTACTTCAGATTCAAAGCCTTCCTGTTTAGCAAACTTAGTTTCCACCTTGTAATCTTTCCCAATGTAACATACATTGAATGTGTGTTTCCTTTGATGTGAATGCATCCACAGTTTAAAGAGTGAAGAGTGCATCCAAAAAATAGAACCAAAATAATTATGTCTTTGCACTGTTATAGTATGGGAAAGAACTGTTGACTTCAGGGTAATTTTCTTTGGATTACTATATTTCTAAAGATTCTTGACTGATTTCTTGTTGTCTTGAAGAAGGCTTTGGATATGGGATTTGTGGTTTGGAGGTGGAATTGAGATTTTTTTCCTCTATATTTTTGAGGGCTTATCTTTGACACTTGGTGAATTTGTCTTGGTCTCTTGAGTATGTGTGTATTGGGTCGATCTGGTCTTGAGGGGGTAGAGTTTGCAGCTTTCAGAGTCAGTAGCTCTGTTAATATACTAAGTGAAGGTCATGTTAATGCTTTGTCATGTTGGATTAGGTTGATTGGAGTCCCATTGAGATGGGCAATTGCCAATCACTGTAGTGTTTGTCTGTGATAGTACATAGGAAAATGTACCTTTTATCTCAGATCTTTTGCCCCTGAACAAAAATTAAAGCATTAGGAAAATGCCTACTGAAAATCGGTTGATTTTTATAACTTTTTAAAGAGAATTTCCAGGCCATAAATGTTTTTGGCTTTATTCTATGAGAATGTCTGTGGAGGAAAACATGGCTCTTCGAGAAGTGTCCATTGCAAGTCAAGTTCAAGAACAAAACCTTAACTGATTAATACCTCTTAGAAGAGCTGCTTTCTCCAGTGTGGCATGATTCTGCTCTCCAGTTAGTTTTGACAGAGGGAAATACCTATGTATTATACAACCGGGATTCTGGATTCAGTCTTTATTGTCATATTCACTGTGGGAAAGGAACCAAGGCTCTATTTAGAAAATTGATTTAATTGTTGTGTTCCTATGTTTTAATCTGGGTAGAAAAGCAGTTAAATGTTGCATAGAATAGAATAGTAGACTGTAGTATCAAGATTAACTTCACTTTTGTAGCTCTACCTGTATCACTTCCATGATTTAAGATGCTGCACCATCAACTTATTTATTTCTTTATTTTACTCTAAACAAAGTTCCTTGACTTTCTGGAAAAATGGTGGCACAGAATTTAGTAGGTTTATTTGGTTCTCCCATTCTTTCCAGTGACATGCCATTTTGGCCTCTTTGGAGTTCCACTGTGTCTTTGTAAACTCGGGTAGGAGGAGAAATTTGGTGGGCAATCAAATATTGGAAGATAATTTAATAGCTTTATGTCTTTATCCTCCTAATTATTTTCTAAGTTTTGTGAAACAGATGATTTAATAGGTATTTTGTGTCCTTGTTATATTCACTCAGCTTACTGCTGGTGAAGGAACTATATCATAATTATGAACTCAGGAAATAACTTAGTTTTGTAGAGAGAGTGGAAAACAATAAAACTAAATCTAGAAATAGCATGTACTTTCCTTTCAGAAGCAGCTCCCATAGCAGGGCTAAGACTAGGAGAAGGCCCTTTGTGAATATACATGTATTTGCCTCTGTGTATGGATAAGGTGGGGGGTATTCTGGGACCAGTTCTCTTTCCAGTCACATTGGCTTGGGACACCTTGCTTTCAGATGGTGTCTATGTTTGTTTCTGATGTGGACTTGTTAACGTGTCCCCTAAGGCCACAAATTACTTCTGAAATGAGTCTCATTGGGAAATCCTATGATCAGACACAGAAGTAAAGTGACTTAATTGACACAGTGAATTCATTGTGATGCTTAAAACCTGTGTACATCATTGCTATTTAACTGCAGTGGTTCCGGCTGTGCCTGTTAAAGCTCATTTGGTTAGAACTTCGTATTAATGAATCTCAGGTTTGATCTGAGTCAATTAGATTTACTTTGCTGTACCCCTAATTCTTGCTTACTCTCCTGAAAGTGGATACTGTTAGGCAAACAGGAGAAATACCTTAGGTATATGGCCCTG